GGGGGGCCTGGGCTCCTGGGTCTGAGGGAGGAGGGGCTGGGGGCCTGGGCTCCTGGGTCTGAGGGAGGAGGGGCTGGGGGCCTGGACTCCTGGGTCTGAGGGAGGAGGGGCTGGGGGCCTGGACTCCTGGGTCTGAGGGAGGAGGGGCTGGGGGCCTGGACTCCTGGGTCTGAGGGAGGAAGGGTTGGGGGCCTGGACTCCTGGGTCTGAGGGAGGAGGGGCTGGGGGCCTGGACCCCTGGGTCTGAGGGAGGAGGGGGCTGGGGGCCTGGACTCCTGGGTCTGAGGGAGGAGGGGGCTGGGGGCCTGGACTCCTGGGTCTGAGGGAGAAGGCGGCTGGTGACAGGATTCTGGGGTCCTACAGGCCTGGACCTTTGCTTCCCCAAGGGTTTGGGGCTCTGACTTTCTCCAGCTGTAACTCTCCTGAGGGTTAGGACTTTGCCTTCTTCTCTAGTCTGTCTCCAAAGCCTAGAAGAGAGCCTGAATGCTGCGACTCTGGGCTGATGGACACATGGGGGGAAGACAATGGCAGCTTACAATCCCCTCCTCACCCTCTGTCTCTCCTAGGTGGTTTCCTCAGCTCCCCCACGGCCCCCTCAGCTGAGTGCGTCCCCAGCTAAAGGCCGGCTGAAAGTGGTGAGTCAGGCACTGGTCTGAGGTGGGCAACTCAGGTCTTGTCCCGCCGCAGGGTTCCTCAGGGGCCCCCGGCCCAGCACTCACCCTTCGCGCCCATTGACAAGGTGCTGGGCAATCCTCTGCGCCTTCTCGTTCTCTTCCTTCGTTACCCCCCTCGCTGGCTTCCTGACGCTCCTTCCAGCATCCCAGGCATGTCTTACCCCAGGGCCTTTGCACCAGCTATTCTGTCTGCCTGGATTTCCTTTCCCCAGGCTCGCTTTCTCCTCTCCTCCTCAGGGAGGCCTTCCCTGACCACCCTGTTTTATTGATAATAAGACACCCCCCTCCCTCCAAGCCCCTTCCCTGCTGATTTCCATAGTTCTTTTCAGCACCTGGCAGAGGATATAGTCTGTTTCTCACCGTCAGCAGGGTCCCTTCGTCCTGAAGGTTAGGACTCTGTCCTCTCCGGTATGTCTCCAGAGTCTAGAACAGTGCCTGACACATAGCAGGTATACAGTGAAGAGGCGTTGAATGGATACTTTCAACTGGGTCTTCCCAGTAGCCTACAAAGTCAAAACTGTTCCCCTCTTCACTTTCCAGAGGAAGAAGCCTCAGAGAGGTGACCACACTCACCAAAACCTCACAGCCTGATACAGGAGAATCCGGTGTTGGGGCGGGGGGAGCTTAGAGAACCCTAAAATCATCTGCTTATTTTCTATGCAAGCCCCAGCCTTCTATCTCTCCCCCCACCCCTTACTTCCTATCCCAGGATTTTCTGAGCCCCTGGCCTGCTGGGGAGGGGCCTGACTCTGTTAGCATCTCAGGCTGAGCACATGCAAGATTCAATCAATACAGGGCCGTCTTCAAACAAACAGCTCAGGAAGTCCGGGAACATTATTCGACCGCAGCAAACAAGTGAGCCAGCAGGAAGGGGGGTGGCGGTGACACCAGCCAGGGAAGCTAAAAACAGATCCAGACCTGCAGCCAAAAGCAAATGGAAACATTAGGAGGCACTCAGCCGGCTCCCTGAGGACAATGAGGGGGACACAGCCCAAATGGCAGGCCGACGGGGGCATAGGGGCGCACCTTTGCCTAGGCTGGGCCCTCCGCCTGGCATGCCCTTTCCTCCGCTCCCCAAACCCTGCCCGATTCAAATCCCAGGCAACTCCTACCCTTTGTTCTTCAAAACACGCTGCAAGAGAGGCGGCCCCGGGAGGGGGTGGGGGGTGCCACTGCCCAGCAAAGTGACCGCCAGAAGGAGAATAGTTAACGTGTATAGTACTTGCTATACGCCTGGCACTGCTCTTAACGTATTGATTTAATTGTCATGACAACCCAGGGAGGTACGTACTGTTATGATCCCTATTATGCAGAGCCAGATGTGGAGGTCACCAGCTCAAGATGACAGAGTCGGGACCGGCCCCCAGGCCCCTGGCTCTAGACTCCAGACTCCATCCTCCAGTCCCGTGGGCCTCTGTTCTCCTGTCTGTGAAATGGGCACCATGCCGGTCCCTGCCGCATGGGGGCGAGGAGTGGGCTGCTGTGGGCACAAGGGCAAAGGGGGCCATGTCAGCGTGTCTGTGGTTTGCATAAGCTGTTCCCACACTGCTGTTCTCCGTCCGAGAAGCCCACCTCTAGGCAGCAAGCCCGTCATTCAGTGGGACCCGGCACCTTGCTGGCCTCCGGCGACCTGTCCCATCCTCACTGTCTCCATGCGGAGAATAGCGACAAGCCTGGCACGGGCCCTGCAAGTTCTGATGAAATGAGCAAGACTGGGTGTATGTAACCTGGGTCGTACCCCTCCCTGACCTCTCGGAAGCCCCCACTTGCCCCCCAGGGCCCCAAGAAAAAGCCAACACATTCTCTGCAGCCACAAGCCCTGGGGGATCTGACTCCTCCCCACCTCTGCACCCTCTCACCATACCCCCAACTCCTTTTCAGCAACAGTGGACCCCTGCTGTTCTTCTAACAGGCCAGCAAGCCCGCCGCCCACTGCAGGACCTCTGCCTACATCCTTCTTAATACTCAGCCTTCTGTTCACTTGCCTCCCCTTCCAAGAGGTCTTCCCCAGCCACTCCTATCTAGTCGCCCCCCACTCTCCCCATGCCCGTTTCAGTTCCCTGAAGAACATCTAACACTCTCTGGATATTTCCTTGTCCGTGCACTGATTACTCATGGTAAGCTTCTTGCTCAGTACATCATCAGTTGCATGAGGACAGAGATTTGTCTACCTGGTTCATAGCTGTGTCTTCAGAATCTAGAATAGTGCCTGACACTGTAGATTCTCAGGAAATGTTTGTGGGATGGATGGATGGATGAAAGGATGGGTGGGTGGGTGGATGGATGGATAGGTAGGTGGGTGGGTGAATGGATGGATGGATAGATGCGTGGATGGATGGATGGATGGATGGATGGAGGGATGGGTAGATGGATGGACAAACAAAACTTCCTACTCAAGCCAGAGGTGCTAGGGGATAAAACAGCATGGACACTGGCCTTTCCTCCCCCTCCCCCCAGCCACCAACGTATTACCACTGTCCAGACCCATGAAATCAAAGATAGCTAGAGCCCTGCTCTGACGTTCCTTAATCTCCTCCCCTCCAGGCACCTCTGGCCCTCCCCAGACTTCAGGGCCCTCTTTCCTTTCCAAGAGTTAAGACTGTGGCCTTAGCCCCATGGCAAATCACCTCCAGCCCTCAGGCCAGGGAGGGAGCCCCAGGGTAAGTGTAGAGGCAGCTGGGGTCTGGGACTCCTGGGGGTGCGGGAAGGTGGGGATGGGGGGGCAGAAGGGAAACACTGGTCCTAGGAAATCAACAGCCCTTCTTCAAACTCTCTCCACTGCAGAAACTCCTAAGGGAAAAGTCACCCCTCCGGCTGCCCCTGGGGGGCCCATGATCGCTGCCCAGGCATGGGGGCCAGTGAGTCTACTCCACCCCAGCCCCAGCCAAGTTCCCTCCCTTGGCCTGGCCCTACCCTGTCCCCCAACCTGGCTGTGATACTATCTAACCCCCTTCTCTGCCTTGCAGGGCCCCAAATGTGCTGCTAAAGGGAGCCCCAGGAGCTAGAAGGGGTTTGTGAATAATAAACTGCCAAGCCTGGTTGTCCTCTGATATGTGGAGAAAGTGCAGCAGCCATTAGGGGGCAACTTGACCTGGGGGGGGTCCCTGAGGCCTGATCATCCCCCCCATTAATGCAGGGGTCTGGAGGGGCGAGTGGGGTACCCAGCTCCTCTGGATCCAGGAGTCCAGGCTCCCAGCCTCCTCCCTCAGACCCAGGAGTCCAGAGTTCCAAGTTTTCGGAGAATCAGGCAGTCATCCCTCTTTCCCCACGAATGCAAAAAAATTTTCTGGAACGAGATCCAGATATCCGAGTACTAAGGCCCTAGTCAAAAAGACCCCACGTTTCTTTAAGAGTCGTGCACCTGATCTTGCCCCAATGTTCTTTCCTCCATTCCACTCTGGGAGAAGGATCCCAGTGATTTCCAGTCCAAATCAAACTGAGGACATGTCTCCCCACCTCATCACTAATCTTGGAGGGACCCAAGCCTCCCTCCACTTCAGTTTAAGCCGGCCCGCACCCCCTGAGCCCAGCCCTGTGCCCAGCCCCAGGCTGGGTGAGGCTGGGCGAGGCTGGGCGCATATAGCAGTAATCACTGCCCCCTGGTGGCTCACAATCCAATGGGTGACATACAGTGATGACCCAGAGTGGGCAGGGCTAGGGGGGTGGGGGAGAAACGGGGCGCTACAGGAACCCAGAGTGGGCAGCTGAGCCAGCCTGGGAGGTCAGAGAGGACCTCCAGGAGGAGGCATCCAAGCTGAGACTGAAAAGAAGAGGAAAAGGTATCCCGGTGTAAAGGGAGCATGGAAGTCCATACCACAGATTTGTCCGAAGCAGCACAAGCCGGGGCAGAAAGGGAATTCATTGAGAGGACATGGGATTTCTCACAGATTCCCGGGAGCGATTAGAGAACCAGGACGGGAAAGTGAGCCGTGAAAGGCAAAGGAACCACCGGCATTGGGCTCCAGTCTGAGCCCAGCCCCGATCCCGCCACAGAACTGGTCTGATGAGGCTACACTGAGGCCCCGAGGACCCCTGAACACCAACCAGTCACCTCGCTGCCTCTGCTGCCCCAGCAACCGGCTGAAGGTGCTCTTCTCATGCGCTGTTGCTCAGAACAAATCACGCCAACACTTAGTGGTAAACACTAAGGATTTGGGGACAGGCTCAGGTGGGTGGTTCTGGCTCAGGGTGCAAGCAGGTGGCACCTGGTCCAGGGCCTCTGGGGCCTGGACAGATGGCTTTCTGCAATCAGACCTCTCCATGGGGTCGCCACACTTGCTAGCTTGGGCTTCCCCATGGCATGGCCGCCTAAGGCAGCCTGACTGCTCGTAGGGTGGCTGATGGCTTCGTGGGAGAGTCTCCCAGTGACCCTTTTCTACCTGATCTTGGGAGTCTTGCAGCATCGCTTCCGCCACATTCTCTTCTTGACAGGAGAGTCACAACATGGCACAGATATAAAAAGAGGAAGGAACGTAGCTTTCCCTGCTCTTGGGGGAGTATCGAGATCAGATTGTCAGAAAAGCATATGGAATGAGAGATTCTGTTGCATCCATCTTTGGAAAATACAATGTGTCCCAACCACAAGAGCGTAGAACCAACCAGTCCCTGCTTCTTTGGCATTATTCTATCCTAATTCTAAGTACAGTAGGGTTTAGGGGCGCCTGGCTGGCTCAGTCGGAAGAGCATGTGACTCTTGACCTTGGGATCGTGAGTTCAAGCCCGGCGCTGGGTGTGGAGATTACTTAAATAAATAGAAAACTTAAAAAAAAAAAAAAGTTCTTATCTAAACTTTCCCTGCACAATAAACTGTTGTCGTCCAACCCAGAATGCATTTATACTGCCCCCCCCAAGACAACACAGACTTGCAGTAGTTACATTTTCCAGCTGCTCTGGAATGCCTGGGGAGTCCCCATTCCCCAGCAAATGTGTCATGATCCCATATTCCACAAGCTGTGAACTAGTTTTAAAGTCAACCATCACACACTATGTAAAATAACGGGATAAAGGTACCGGAGTCCCCCTTATCCACAAGGGGAATGTTCCAAGATTGCTCCCGGACGCCCGAAACCAGACAGTATCCAACCCTGGATATACGGTATTTTTTAACTAGGGACTTAGGATTTGGCTATCTGTACATACCTATGATAAAGTTTAATTTGCAAGTTGGGTACACTAAGAGATTAACAATAACAATAAACTAGAACAGTTATAACAATGTCCTGTAATTAGAGTTATGTGAATGTGGTCTCTTTCTCCAAATATCTTCTTGTACTAGACTCACCCTTCTTTTTTTTTTTAAGATTTTATTTATTTATTTGTCAGAGAGAGCACAAGCAGGGGGAGAGGGAGAGGGAGAAGCAGGCTCCCCGCTGAGCGAGGAGCCAGATGCGGGGCTCAATCTCAGGACCCTGGGATCATGACCTGAGCCAAAGGCAGACGCTTAACCGACTGAGCCACCCAGGCGCCCCTAGACTCACCCTTCTTGTGATGATGTGAGAAAATAATTGCCTACAGGATAAGATGTAGTGAGGGGAGTGGCACCAGCATTGTGACATATCCTCAGGGTACTCCTGCCCTTCTGACATATACATCAGGAGGAGGATCATCTGCTTCCAGACCACTGTTGACCGAAGGTAGCAAACCATGGAAAGGGAAACCGCAGATAGGCAGGGCTGCCACAGAGGAAAAATAAGGCTTGTTAATTAAAACGTGTAAGTGTATACACATGACACAGGACGGATGGGATCGGGAAATTCATATATTGCACAGATCTTGACTCCGCTCCTCATACCAAGCACTGTTCTAGGCGCTGGAGATACAGTGGTAAACAAAACAGTTTCCGTTCTCTTAGCACTTAGGTTCTACACAAGATAAGCAATAAAAAAATAAATACATGGCATCAGTAAGTGTTGCAGAGGAGAAACGTAATAAGGGAAATAGGAATCGCTGGGATAGCAGGAATTGCTATTTTAGATAAGATGGCCAAGGGAAACTGATGCGGTGATGTTGGAGAAGAGATTTGAAGCAAGTAAGGGAAGGAGCCGTGTGGGGCAGAATGTCCCCGCAGAGGGAAGAGCAAGTGCAAAGGTCCTGAGGCCAGAACATGCCTGGCATTGGAGGAACAGCAAGGAAGCAAAGAGACCAATGGGGCAAGAACGGAGCTGGCAAGGGGGAAGAGAAAGAAAGACGGAGTCAGGGAGGTAACGAGGACCGGATCGAGGACCTCGTGAGCCATGGAGTGGATTTTAGCTTTTACTGAGAGGAGCCCTGGAAGGATTCTGAGCAGAAGAGTGATGTGGGTTGACTCACATTTTAACGGGATCCCTCTGGCTGTTTTGTGGGAATAAATTGTAGGGGACAAGGGCAGATGACGTTCCAGTACTAGTTTCTGCAAGTCTGCGAGGGACTGTGGCTGCTATTTATGCCTTCCCTCCTTCATACACACTCCAGACCGTCCTTCCCCTTCGCCCAGAACCTTGGCCGGTTGGATTCTTGAGGCACGTGGGAGTGGGAGTAGCTGATGAGAGGGTGCCTACCAGAGTCCAGCCCAAGCAAGTAGGTGCACAAGCGGGAGCCAGAGAGCGGTGTTCTCTGGGGGACGGGTGTCCGGGGTCGCAGTGTGTGAGCTTGTCCCCGGGAGCACTTGGAGTTGTATTTGTCCATGAGTGAGTTTGTACCGTGTGTCCTGCGATGATCCAGGGAGCCTGCGTGCTCCAGACTCTCGAGCCCTGCAAACCTTCCCTGAGCACCTGCTCTGTGTCTGGCCTTTTGCTGGGGACACAGCAGTGACCAACAGAGACAGCGCCAGCCCTGCCCTCAGGGACCCACAGTCCAGTGGTGGGGGGCAGATTAATCCCCAGACAGGATGACCCAGAATGTGCAGGACTGGGGTGGGGGAGCCCAGGTGATTGAGGGAGCCTAGAGGGGGCACTTGACCTAGCCAGGGGATCAGGGAAGGCATCCTGGAGGAGGTGATGGTGCAGGTAATACTAAAAGGTCTCCTCTCCCAGTGTAACAATTGCTTTCCTGTATCACTGATGAATAAAGTAGCCTTGACCAGTCTGACCAATAACTCCCAAGCTGACCTGTATCTAAGCCTTCCTTCTGTGCCCGGTGGGCAAAGCCATCTTACCAGTGACCCCCATTCTGGCCAGTGTCGAGGGCTAGTACTCCCTATAACCAGTGACATCTCTCCCTTCCCCCGCCCCCAGAGGATTTTGTCCCCATCAGATCTGGCTTGTGAGAAGCCTTGAGCAGTCGGGATCCGTGAGCCCCCCCCCCCCCCACACCTGACCTGTGACCCTTCCTTCAGACCCCTGGCTCTGCTCCTCCCCACTGCCCTCAGGTGCCCTGGCCTGCTCCCCTCCCCCACTCACCTGCTCCCTCCAGCCTGATTCTCCTCCCATCCCCCCCCCCAAGGTTGGGAGGGAGTGGAGGGGAGAGGAAGGGAGGAAGGGGGGTGGCATTCCTGGGATTCCCGGGATGAGGGGAAGAGAGGGAGGGCTCCACGGAGGAGAGTCAAGGGAAGAGCACCCCACTGCACTCCCTGCCCCCCACCCTCATCACAGAGTCCTGGACTGAACTCAGGTTTGAAGACCATTAAATTTAAGAGATTGAACTGATGGGTTCCAGGCCACTGGTCAGACAGGAAAGCAGCCCTGAGCGGTGGCTACAGGGGAGGCCTCACAAGGCATACAGGAAGAAGCTGTTCTAGGCCACTGATCAAGCTGGGCACCACTGGTTGTACTGGGAAAGGCCAGTGCATGCCCTAATGGCCCCCAGTCAGAATGAGGGGGAGAGGGTCCACGGCCGTGCGCTGAGGTCCCAGCTCAGGACACTGGTTAGACTGGTCTGTCAGGCCACCGCCGGGGGCACTGGTCAGCCTGAGCCAGGCAGCCCAGGGCTTGGGGGCAGAGGGAGCCCCGCTCCGGGCCCAGCGCTGGGAGGTCCACTCTGGGCAGTGGGAGGTCCTGGCGGGGCGCCCGGGTTTGGGGGGGGGAATCAAGGGGGGGGCCGGGAGGGCGGGGCGGGGCGGGGCGGGGCTGCCAGGGGCGGGGCCTGGTCGCTCCCAGCCCCCGGGGCCGCCGAGCTGCAGCCCGGGCAGTCGCCGCCGCCGCCACCGCGAACATGGAGCCCCGGGACGGCCGGGCCCGGGCGCGCAGGGCCCCGCGGCTGCTGGTGCTCGCGCTCCTGCTGGGGGCGCACCCAGGTATGGCTCTGGCGGGGCGCAGGGCGCGACTGGGGGCGGACCCCGGGAAGGGAAGGGGTAAGGGGCTTTCATCGAGCCCAGGAAGCCAAACCTGGGACCCCCCCTCCCCCCGCCCCGAGGAAGAGGGATACGGGAGCATGGGGGATACCCCTCCCAATATGAGACCTGGGGACAGCCAGGCAGAGGGGCTGGGCATGGCACAGCAGTGGATTAGACAGCGCGGGAGAAGTCAGCCCCCTCCAAACTCGGGACCAAGGAGTGAGGAGGGCCCTCAGCCCCTGGAATCTGGGTCTCGAGACTCCTGCTCCCTCAGACCCAGGAGTCCGGGCCTCCAGTGGCTGGAGCGGCTTCCTCCAGGACACAGGAGACCCAAACCCCAGGGCTTCCCTTGGAAAGGTTCTCAGGTTCTGCAAGGGTCAGGGACCCTGTGGCTAGAACCCCGTGAGTCACGTGCTCTTGAGGGTTCCCCCAACCTGGATTCAGGGCCCAGACTCTATAAAGAACCCACCTCCCTCATGGACGAGCTGGAGCACTGGCCCTAGGCAGTGATGATGGAACAGAGTGTTTCCGAGTGACAGGGCCTCCCCTTCCTGGGGCCCCAGATAAATCCACACACCTGTGTGGTGGTGGGAGGGGAGGAGGCCCAGAGGGGCTGGCAACAGAGGGACAGAGAGATGGGGGAGATTAGGGCACAGAGATCTCTCCATCTGTCCTCCTGTCTGTTACTCAGACCAGCCCCAGGCACTAGCCTGGCCCCACACCCCCTCCCCTGGGACAGGCCTGGGCCAGAGGTGGGTGCCTGGGAATCCAGGCCCCTGGCACAAGCTTGGTAAATAGTGGGTCCCCAGGGGCAGGGCTGGTCAAGCTGGGCGGCGAAGGGAAGGGAGGTTCTAAGAAGTGAGAGCTGATGCCAGGATGCCAGCGCAGAGGGTGAGAGAGCACAGTTTCCCCAATGGCAACAGCTCTATCTGCCAGGATCCTGGGATGGGAGTCCAGGCCCCCCCCCAGCACTCCCCCCCACTCCCACCCCCACCCCACCCCCCAGCTCCCTTCTGCCTCAGGACCCAGGCTCCTGGGCCTCACCCCTCTCCTATTCGGAGGGGACACACCTTACCCCCTTCCCTGCTCCATCAAAGAGGCAGAGGGGCCAAGGGGCGGGTAGGGGGTTCTGGCGCCAGGCTGGGCAGGTCTGGGCCAGCCTGTCCCTCCCACATTCCTGAAACCTGCCCAGCCCTGTCCCCCCTTACCGCCCCCACACACCCATACCTCAGCTGCAGGCTCAGCCCCAGCCCCCTGACTCATGACAAGAGACCCAGGGCCTGAGAGGGATGGAGACAGAGTGCCAGGCTGACGGAGAGGCAGAGACTGGGGACTAGAGGTGGGAGACCCAGAGTGAGAGACACACAGGCAGAGATGGAGAGAAATCTATCCCTGGCACCATGCCAGGCTCTGCGCAGGGGTGCTGGAGGCCAAGGGATGAGCCAGGGCT